CTCTGAATTCCCGAAACATCAACCTACGGGTCCCTATCATGTCTGCAACCTCAGTGCAGAAAGTGCTCGGCCTCTCATCACAAATCTCTATAATGCCCTCCTTGATTATACTGAGGATCATAGGAGTCTGGTCAATGATACTGCGCATAACCTCATATGGAATGAACACCTTCATCTGATCATCGAGCTGCCCTACTACAGAGTTCGAGCCTGATCCCTCGTCGACACCAGAACTACCATCTGGTCTACCACATAGCATCACTATACTTGGCAATATACCATCACTAACATCACAATACTTATCCAAACTCGAGGGATCTCACACACTACAAGTTCCCTGGTTTCATCTCAGCCTTCCTTGATTCGAGTACGGATCCTCTGCTTTCAGTAGTACGGGCCCATACTACCTTCGACATCTATCCGTACTTTCCTCAAGAACTGCCTTAACTCCTCCAAGTCCCTTCTACTACCACTATTTTTCTCATACTAATCTCATCCTAGGCTTGCCCTAGGTAAATCTATGACTCCACCCAAACCAATCCTCAGCTGCTGAAGGCCTCCTTGTAATGCCAATTACCCATCATCTGAATACCATCACATGTGATGAGGCTCATATAATCCTTCGAGTAAAAGACTCGTCCCTACAATGGTTAGACTCAGACGAGAGTTTCGCAATAGGGCCAAATCCAATACTCTGAGATTATTCAACCCTGATTACATGTGATGTGACGTATTCACCTAATGAATAACTCCCATCACTCACAGTCCCACCAAGCACAAAGCAAGCAGCATTCAGACACAGGAAACTACTCATGAAAAATATGTCCTCATAACAAGAAACTGTAGTAGCATACAATGTTAAACTCATACTATCAGGCATAACCTATACAAGCTATCCTATTACTGTCTACTCAATACTAGCATGCAATTCTCATAAAGCTAGAACACATATAGCAGGCACATAAGACATCCTCCTAAATCCTTAGTCCTATTCTAGCATGCTGTTCTACTGAAACTGAAATTGATAATCATAACATAAACTTGCATGGGTAATTTGGGAGTACTTACTTGAGCTCGGCTGATTACATGCACCACACCATTTTCTCTTTTCAAAACTCTTTTTGCTTTTTCTAGAACTCTTTTCTTTATACTTTTTCTAAAATTATTTTCTATTTTCAAAATTCTTTTGTAACCATGGTTTTCCCCTTGAAAACTTAATACCACTTCCTTAGTTTGAGTTCAGACACACTCGGGAGTGCGCTCGAATCCCTCAAACCAAGGCTCTGATACCAACTTGTAACATCCCAAAAATACAGTCTGAAAATTTCGTTCAATTTAATAATAAAAACCATAGTCGATAAACCTCATATAAAAATCATACGCAATGTATCTCAAAATATTATAACAACTATCAACTATATCAGAGTATAAACATCCCAGGCTGAACAAATGGTGTGTGCACTGCAATCTTCCTGAGCGCCTCTTTTGAAAATTGAGTACCTGAAACCAAAACTGAAACTGTAAGCACAAAGCTTAGTGAGCTCCCCCAAACTACCACATACCACACAATAACATAATAAGCACATATTGGGCCCTGCCCACTGCATCAGACCGAAATCCGGAAACTGCATCGGACCAAAGTCCGAAAACTAACTAGGGCCTTGCCCTATGCATCAGACCTTATCCCCATGCATCGGACCGAAGTTTGGAACTAACTGCATCGGACCGAAGACCGGAACTGACTGTATCGGATCGAAGTCCGGAACTGAATGAACATAGCATAGCATAACACATCAATTAGCATAAACACATATACTTCATACTGCATCGGACCGAAGTCCGGAACACATAACACATAGACATGCTTGAATCACAAAGACATCAAGCACTCTGATCTACTGCATCAGACCGAAGTCCGAGACTGACTGTTAACTAGACGGGTCGGCATTATGGCCGTAGACCCGTTCCCACTGGAAGGAAACTCACCTCACACTGCTGAAGTCCCGCAGACTCAATCCCACACTGCTAAAGTCCCGCAGACTCGACCCCAATCACTAGATGACAGATTCCCGATCTGTCAATATCAAAATAACACCCAATTAATAATTAGGTTCCACTACATAGCTATAATTACATACTTTAGATAATTACTACATTACCCCAAGCTTGGCTTACCCAAGCCCCAAGTCCAATCCATAGGCCCAAAGTCAACTAGGGATCAAAGCCCAAAATATGGCCCAATTTTCCAAATTGGGCCCAAACCTCCACATGGACTTCCCTTAAGGCCCAATTGCTCAGTCCGGTCCGACATGTCTCATTCTAAGGGCCTAATATCGTACAACCATCTAGGCCCAAACTATGGCCCAATTTTCCAAATTGGGCCCAATCCTTCATATGGGTCTTACCCTAGAGCCCAACTAATTACTCTAGTCTATTTAATTATTCTTGGATGGCCCAACACAAAGCCTAAGTGAAATTAGGGTTTCTCATAAAATAATAATTAAGTTTAAGTGTTTCTCACTTAACCCATTAAGGGCTTAACCCACTAAGGACTTAATCCATTAAGTCCATTATTGCTTAGATTAATTTCTACCAATGATTATTATTTAGTATTTCACTTATTAAATAATTCCTGAGTGTGTGTCCTGATAATTTCTCAAATGTTAGTATTTTCTCAATTAGCCCATTAAGGACTTAGTCCATTAAGTTCTTTACTCTACTAGATAAATGGGATGGAATAGTTTGGGCTTAATTCACAATCCAATCCCAATGGCCCAAAAGTGGGTCCAAAAAGGTCCAAGGCCCAAATGCTAACAATTAGGGTCTTCCACCCAAATATGGCCCAATAGGCCCAACACCAATCTCTAAGTCCATTAGGGTTTGGTTAGTGGGGCACCACCCACTACCACCTCGGGTAGTGGTGTTTGATGGCGGCTCACGGCGGCGGCCACCACCCTATGTTGGTGGTTATGGTTCTTTTCATTACACCTTTTGCTAATTACAACCACAAGATTTTAATCCACAAATAAACACATACACTAACTATTCTAACACACACACACAACCACCCTAGTGGTGGCCGGTGGTGGCTCGTGGCGGCAGCCACCACCTCGTGGTGGTGATGGTTATGATCTTACGCCAACGCAACACCAAAAGCACTTCAATCATCAATCTAAACGCACCCGAAAGCCCACTACCGCCGGAGATGGTAGCTAAAGGCGGCGGAATGGCGGCAAAAGGTGGTGGTGATGAGTTTTCTTCATTTTTCCTTACAATTCCGACGGCTCACGATCATCTGACGATGATGACATACCCCTTCTATCATCAACCATCCTCCAGCGATTCTCGACGTCACTGGCGACAAGGGAGACGTGACAGTGGCATTAGACGACACGACAACCGGCAGATAGAGTGGCTGCTGGACCCGATGATGCAAGCGGCGACTGAGGTGCTCCATGGACGACGGTTGTGAGGCTCATGAGGGGGGGGGGGGGTGGCGGCTGCATCATAAGGAAGGGTTTAGGGTTAGGGTTGGCTGCTAAGAGACTATATACGCGTCCAAAAATAACTATTTCCCCATAATTACATTTTTGGTCCCTTCCCATGAAATCCTTTCAAATTAAATCCGAAATTTACTATATTGCCCTTATCTCCAAAAATCTCTTTATAATTCATTCCTAAAATTTCCAAATCAGCCCCTTAGCATCTAAAATTCTTCAAATGAAGTCCCATAAAGTACCATTTAGTCTTTGCCTTCATAAATACTTACAAAACTAATCTAGAACTTACACTTTTAACCCTTAACTGCTAAATTTCTTCACAAATTAGTCTGGGACTTACTTTTATTAATTTATTTAAATAAACGGGCGTTACAGACTTAGTGCCCGTTGTGTAAACCGTGGCAACGATGGATTTCTTGCCGATTCCTTAGGATAATCTTTAGGAATGAATGAATGAGGAATAGTTGATTTTTAGGGTAGATCCTTAAGAGTAAAGAAGATAATGAGGATGGGTAATTGGGTTGATTGTTTGTTTGTTAAACATAATAATTATATTATTGTGGGTTGAAAACCCTATGTACTCACCAGGTTTCCCAACCTGATCCACTCAGTTTATTTATATCACATGTGTTGTTATGATGTCACATTACACTGAGAGATTAAGGAGATGTAAATCACTAGTGATAATGAATGTAAGTTCCGTTTATGCTTATGTTTTTGTATTGACAATGACATCCCAAATGTTTTAAAATGAATAAAAATACTTTTCCTCGGAAATGCTTTGATAACGTATTTATCATGTTTTACTGGGAACAAATTCTGCAACGTTTTTCTTAAAAGAGATACTCTGATTTTTATAAAGCATAAACAAAACCGGTCTTTTCTGGCCGTGAAAATGGGGATGTCACAACATGGAATTATAGAAAATTGTTATTAAGAATTGTGTTTTGGAGATCAATCAATATCTGCGAAGCCTGGTAGACACTCGTGATTCACTGCTCACAATCTCGGTACGACAACATCTTGCATACAAACTCAAACCAGTTTTTTCGATGCTCAACAGAATTGAAGGTTTTCGGAACATGATGCTCTTCCGAAACAAAGGGGAGATATCAAAGACAAACCCAAGCAAAATACTGGTGAACTAACTAGTGAAACTATGCAAAAACCGAAACCGAATCCTAAGGATCAAGAAGAGTGATACATAACTTGATTATCTATTGCAAATTCGAAAGAGTTAGAAGATCAAGAAATGGAAGCTAAAGTTACGAAAGTCACCCTCGAAACTCAGAAGTCGCTCTTTCCTCCATGGACATTGGAAAGAATTCAAAAGGAAGCAGTTGATGAACCACACACTCACTGGTTGGAGCCTTCGGTATCGCTTGAGATAGATAATACTATTGACTCTAAACTTGATTCTCCGATCACTCCTAGGAATTTCTGTTCAGACGCTTCGAAAAGATTGAGTGAGCTCTACTTTCTGGCTATGATGTTAATCATATGCTCTTCTCTTTGTATCTTAAGTATGGAAAGCCTCAATTCAAAATATGGAGTTTACAGAAGATTGTTGTTGTGAAGGTTTATGCACCTGTTCCGACTGAAAACTTCATAAGCATCAAGTTCAAAGGATTTCGAGGAACAAGTCGATCGGAAGATGAATTTACACTTGCTGATTTACCATGTATGAATCTATACGATTGGATTTCTTTGTTCTTAATTTTGTCCAAAGATGAACAGAAGTACGAGCCGATCGTAGCTCATTTGAAGAGGATGCTTATTTGTTACATTCATGAGATTGCAAAGATGGATGTAGAAATAACATATGTTCTGAAGAAAAAGCCGATTCTGAAACCTGAGGAGGAATCGAAGGATCTCCATAAGATGAAGCTAGGCAAAATCCGAAAAGACAATTGGAGTGTTGTGTACCAATAGAAGAATAATCAAACGGTTCAGAGGAGTATGTTCTTCTTGCTAGACAAAAACGTACACCCAACCGCTGCTCTGAACTACCTCATGGATTAACCGAAGCTTGTAAAGCAAACAATGATGCTGGTCAGAAATGCTTCTCAGATATGATCAAGTGGTACATAGTTTTCAGAAACACCCTTTTGAATTTGATGTCGAAATTATTCAAGGTGCAGAAAAGACAACAATCATAGATGAACTCCTTGCTTATTTGACACAAATGGGGAGATTGTTTGGTTATAAATATATTGTGTCAAATATATGTACTAATATAGTCTTATTTACCGGTTTAGGCATGTCCATTTACGGTTGTGTATGGCTAGGGTTAGACTATTTATAGTGCATGCTTGTATCGATGAAGGTTAACATTTTGTCGCCCTACATAACTCTTACAGAGAAGTCTTCTTGGAACTCTTTTAGAGCTTTTAGAATCAAAGCATTCAACACTATTTTGATCTTTGTTCTTGTCATTCAATTCACGTTATTTAATATAGAATCCGTAGATCATATTTATTGTTCTACAAAAGGTGGGAACTTTAAACTCACAAAAGGTATAGAAGATGATTGCTTTGCTGGAACACCAATAAATCTCACACCACAAACTTGCTTTAAGCTTTTTACTCTTGGATCTTCACAAAAGAGAGCACAAAACACACATACACAATGTCAAATTTGAGGATAGGGTTATGAGGATAGTATTCTTTGGGGTGGAGATTGATGTATAGACCGAAACCATAGGGAAGTATGCATTAAATATGCTCAAATCCCGATGCTTCTAATGTTTTGTATATCAAACCCATTACGTTGTTGCTAAACTTTAACCACGCCACCACTTAAATAATGTGGCTGCATCGTGATGTATCTCCATCAGTGTGTCGTGGCCAATCAAAATCACAACTTAAATAATTAGAATGCTAAAAGGTTAATACCTAAAAACCAATGTTACATTCCTATTTGTAGGAACCGGAACCAGAAACAATAGCATCGATTCCGGTTTTGTAACCACCTTTTATTATTATTATTTTTCATTTGCGTAAAAAAAGTAAATTAAAACATTATATAATTACATTCTAATTATAACTAAAATTTCATAAAGATTTATATAAGGCCATTAATATAAATTCAATAAATGTACAAGCTCTAAAAGCAAATAATACGAGAGAGAAAAGCAAAGGTAGATATTTTAATATAAATATTTGTCAGTGTCCCCGTGCATTTGGACAAATATTACAAACCATATTTTACTTTTTCCATTAAAAACTATAATCAGGTTTGAACACTCCTTTGCCAAGTGGCTGTGGTTTTGACAACCCTCCCTTATCTCTTTCTTCTTCCTTCTTCTCCACTTCTTCTTCAATGGCGCTTTCTTCTTCTGCAAATGCAGGGTGAGTTAGAATGTAGCTGAACAACTGCGTCCCTCTTAGTGCATTCGTCAATGGCAGATGGCCTTCTGGTGTTTCCTCAGTCAATTCCCACATGAATTCATCTGGGAAAGCTCTGTAGTTGTATTGTAAGACTTCAGTGTCGAGTTTCTTCATCCACCCAAGTTTTATAAACAATGTTGTGAAATCTCTGTTTGATTTCTCCCACAATCGTTTCTGGACGCTGTACCCGAATTTATTGTTGCTGTGATTCCTCCATAGTTCGTCTATTGTTTTCAGATCTGATTCTGCTATGAATTGTACTTCGGAGAAGAAAACGTACCCGCGTTTCTGTGCTGCTTCGCCGGCGAGTGCGATGAGGAGACGCCGGGTTTCGTTGTCGGCTTCTCGGAAATCGTTTGCGGCGAGGAGACTTTTGAGGAGGTCAAAGGAGGTTGATTGGGCGGCGGTGGTGGAGGAAGTGGAGGTTGTGGAGGACATAGAGAAGGTTTTTACGGCGGATGAGATAGAGAGTGTAGGATTATTAGTATTGTTTGATTTGATATTAAATGATAGCAGCGGTGGACATTCTAGTGACTGCCGCCGACCAATTGGCGGAGTGTGGTGGCGGTAGTTCAAAGATTGAAGAGAATTGGTGGCCATCGGAGAGAGAGAGAGAGAGAGAGAGTAAAAAGGGGGGGTTTATGACATCAAAGGGAAGAAAGGAGGTCGTTACAAGTAGAATAGGAACTAGGAATGATGACAATCATTTTCAAATACACCCCTAAAATATGGAGATAATACTATTCAGCCCTTCTAACAAGTTTATTTAAATTTCTTCTTTTAAGAGGAAATATTGTTACAATATGGGAATTATACATAATAGCTAACAAAAGAAATTAAAATATATGATATATTATTATATGTTTATTGGACTCACTATTGTTATCTTAGTGAGGAAACCATAACTTTTATTAAGTGTGATCAAAAGTATACAAATACTATTAACACAACCGATTGTATTTGAAAATAACATATTGATAATATATAAATGTATTATGATAATTATAAGGATTAATCATTTAACTAGATAAAAAAAAGGGTGAAATATATTTGCTTTTTATAATTTCACCATTTGTGACTGTATAAGAAGTTAGGGGGTGTAGATGTACTTTAAGTAAAGAATAGGATTGGCTAAGATAATGGAGATAAGAAATGAATGAAAGGGGAGTAGAATGGTGTAATGCGATTGGTTGAATTTGGGTGAGGGTGGATTTGCCATATCACTCTCCTCACGTCATTACCACATACCCGACACTTTTCAATCTTGACCCACTTCCACAGTTTCATTGTACTTTGAAACAAATAATAATATTTTTGGACATTTGGTTAACGAGAAACAAATAGACCCTTTTATTTCATTTTTTTTAAGAACTGCAAACTATTTGGGAAATAGAGGTTGTTTTTAGTGTAAAATGACCGCTAATAGCTTCAATAATAAATAACTAATATGATTTAGAACATGTTTAATCATATTTTGAGACTATTCGTTATTGAATATTTTTAGTGGTCAAAAAATACCATTAAACTACATAGATTGGTCTCGGCAAAGGCTCCACGGAGGTGAGGTGGACCTGGCATGCCATGCTCGGTTGGTGAATTCGGCATTTTGATACCGATTAGAGAGAGAGGTGTCGGGGCTTTGTTTTTTTATCATTTTAAACACATAGGTTAATTTAAAAAAAAAAACATTTTACAAAAAAAAAAAAAAATACACTTTTGAAAATATAAATATGTTTTTTTAAAATTTAAAATAAATAATATTTTCTTAACTACTATACATATTAACATCATCTTTTATTTTTCATCATATTCAAACCTTGTTTGTAACGTTTAATTCCTAGTATGTATTTAAACTTATAAATTATTCATTTTTATAGAACAACTCGACGAGTTGGTGACCCCTAACTCGTCGTGTTTAGATGTTTTGGACCATGTATTTTAAGTGACCAACTGGACGAGTTGGGAGGTCTCAACTCGATAAATTGGTTCGAAGAAATGAAACCCTAATTTCGGGGTTTTGCACCTTATTTAAACAACTTAAGCCCCATAAGTTGGCTTGATTTCCGGGCTCCACTGTCCTAAACCCTAACCTCGATACCCTAAGGCGTCTTTGAGTGATTGCGAGCCATTTTTTTGTGTGTTGTGTGTGCTTGAAGCCATTAGAAGAAAGGGGAGCTTGGAGATACAAGAAGGAGCTATTAGATCCAGAATCCTTGCTTCATTTTCAACATCTTTCTGGTAAAAATTCTCAACCTTGCTTTGTAGTTACTTAGATCTTCGTCTTAATGTTCTTTTGCTTGTTTTTGTCCAAAAAAAGTGGTCATTGGGAATTGGACGTCCTATATGGACAAAACCTTTTAGATCCAAGGTCTTAAGGAGCTTTCATGGCATAAAGGTGCCAACTTTATGGCTCTAAGAGCTTCATGCACCTTCTAAGCCTTTGTTTTGGCTTATTAAGCTTCTTTTAGCCATGCATGTGAGTAAAGTTGAAGACTTTATGTGACCTTTTAGCCTTTAAGGTCCAGATATGTGTTCATCAACTCTATCTTGAAGATATGGTGGTTTTTGTATTAAGACATAAGACTTTTAGGATTAGGGTTTGAGCTTAATGCCTTTAGGGTGGTTCTTCATGGGTAAAGTTGGAAACTTTAACCTTCTAGATGCATTATTAGTCTAGATCTGGAAGATAGAGCTTTGTTTTGAAGATTCATGGCTTAATGCATTAAGTGGGTTGGCAGACTAATGAACTCGACGAGTTCATAAGGGAACTCAGTGAGTTGGTTTGGTATTGTCCCGATTCTGTTGAAAAGGGAGGAACTCGACGAGTTAAAGGGAAACACGATGAGTTGATTCGAAATATCGTGATTCGGTGATTCATGGAAACTCAGCGAGTTGAAGGATAACATAACGAGTTGAGTCAACTCAGAGCGTTAACTTTGACTTTGAGTTTGACCAAGTTTGACCTTTTATGGTTTTTGAAGTATGGATCGGTATCTAAGGAATTGTTTCTGTTTAGGGGTTGAGTAGAACTGTTTTCGGGGCCTGGGATTTATCCAAATATCATTCAGCATTCAAGGTGACTCTTCTCACCAAGTTCAGCAGGTCTGAGGCACCAAGTGTAACATCCCAAAAAATACAGTCCAAAAATTTCGTTTTAAACCATTAAAGAAAACCCATAACTCATAAATAACATAATAAAAATCCTAAATCGTGTATCTCAAACATCATATCAAAATACCGTATCAAAACCATGTATTAAAATATCAGAGTCTAAAATATCCCATGCTGAAAACTATGATGTGTGCCATGCAATCATCCCGAGCTCTTCCCCTTGCTAGTCGAAGTATCTGAAACCAAAACTGAAAACTCTAAGCACGAAGCTTAGTGAGTCTCCCCAAACTACCATACACCATACACATAATCACATACTGCAAACACTGGGCCTAGCCCGCTACTTCGGACCCCACCTGCCATCAAACAAATCCAGCATCAGGCCCTGCCTAGCATCGAGCCCCGCTTGGTATAAAAATATATTTCTACTAG